TTTATATTAATATTGGTTTCGTTCTCATCATTCCCATGGTTGTCGTCATCATCTGAAACAGCAGGTACATTCGACATAGTGTCTTTATGAGATGATGTTTCTAAAAAACTTAGTCTAGCATACACCTCCCATTTAGAATTTTTAGATTTAGCAGCACTTCCTGTCCCTGCATGTCTTTTCCGTTTATATCTGTTGTAGGAGTCTTTAATGCACTTCCATCTTTTTTTACAATCGTCCCCTAAAATGGAAACTAACTTTTATTTTTTTTTTTAGATTTATGGCAACTGGAGAAACTTTTGTGTCTTTATCTTTTGCATATCGTATATCTGACTGTTATATTTCAAAGATCGTTAGAGAAGTTTTAAAAGCATTGTGCAAAAACCTTGTATCAGTTGCAATGCCAACATTATCTGAACAGGATTTTTATAGAGTTTCCGCAACATTTTGGAATAAATGGAATGTACCGAACTGTGTAGGAGCAATAGATGGGAAACACATTCGAGTTAAATCGCCAGAAAAAAGTGGTTCATTATATTTTAATTATAAGGAATATTTTTCAATTGTGCTTTTAGCCGTTGTAGATGCGGACTGCAAATTTATTGCAGTTGATATTGGTTCGTACGGAAAAGAAGGAGACAGTAATATATTTAGAAGATCCGCTATATGCCATCGAATAGAATCAAACAATTTTAATATACCTGAAGAAAAATGTCTTCCAGGGACTAATATTTATATACCACATTTTTTAATTGGTGATGAAGCATTTGGAATTGATTCCTACATGATGAAGCCATATCCTCGAAAAACTGCAAAACACGACAATAAAAAAGAAATATATAACTATCGCATTTGCCGCGCTCGCAGAGTTTCGGAAAATGCATTTGGTTTATTAAGCCAAGTTTTCAGAGTCTTTTATACACCCATATCAATTAAACCTGAAACTTGCAACGAGTTGATAATGGCAGCATGCTGCTTACATAACCTTTTACGTAACGAATATTTACAAAACAATAATAGTGGCGGATTTCAGTACAACGAGAAAGAAAATCCACCCAAATTAAATATGGCTCCTTTAAACCATTCTGGCGGGTTCGCTAAGCGAACGGGTTTATGGGTCAGAACTCAGCTTACAGAATACTTTTTAAGCGAACACGGAAAATTGTCCTGGCAAGAGCAACATATCTTCAATAAAAAAGACTAGGAACAGCGTTCCATACCACTCATTTCAGATTTATATTTGTAGAAGGATTTAAAATTTAATTACTTTGTATGTCATGTACCATGTCTATATGTTTATTATAATTCATAATTAAATTGTAAGACAGATAAATTGACAAAAGTTACTTTATAATTATAATATGCATTATGATTTTGCTTTATAAATCATTTAAAATAAAAGTACATACCTGTTCGTTTTAATATTGCTCCTATTTCTTTCCAAATATTTTCCCGCTTTACAATATCTTTGTAACTTTCTAGTTGAAGGTCGTATAAAGTTGGGTTTTGCTCAACTAAATCTATAAGTAGATCATCTTCTTCCCCTGAAAATACTGACGACTTTGATTGCGATGGCGTATTTTTCACTATTTTATCCAAAGAAGCCATTGCTTGATAATAGCACAACAATACTTATTACAACGATTGCTGCAGAACGACTGCCTCCAGACCGGTCTTGACGCTGACGCGCGTCCAAGCAGCAGAGACAGGGCGAGACACTTAATAAGCTAGTTGCTGCTGCAGCGTGCATCGAACGGTAAATCATTAGATTTCATTAGAACAGTAGTGTCTCTGCCTCTTGCCTCTGCCGCCTGCAGCTGCAGCATGTCTCTGCAGCGACTATCGAACGAGTACCTTTAGTGAATTCAAAGTTATTAACCACTTAACAAAATCTAGAATAAGGTAATGTCTGATTTTCGATTAATTCTCTAATGGAGTGTTTTAAATATAATCACCTCGCATTAACCTCTGCTCGTTCACAAGCGCAGCTGTCGATTGCAATGTCAAACATAATTTAAAAGTGAATAGTTGCCCAGCTACAACAGTTTTATCTTTGGGTGGGGGCTACTATCAAAGTCGCCTCCAAAACTCAAAGTCGCCACATATTACGGTACATCTAACTCAAAACATTTTTCCATATATAATCATTGAAAACGAAAATGCTGAAAAATTTAAATTTTATACTTTTCCTCCAACTTTTTCATTACGGTCCATTCTAGAAATAATAATTTAAAAAACAAAAATTATAGAGATCGATATCGCAAACAACTTATAGTTTAACAATTTTCTTAAAAAACAAAATTTGGCACATTTTTTCACATTTTGCCAAAAATTATACAGATCGATATCGCAAACAACTTATAGTTTAACAATTTTCTTAAAAAACAGAATTTTGCACATTTCATCAAATTTCAAATTTCTCGAATACGGACCATTTCAGGAAAATTTTGTAAAGAAAAAGAATTATGGAGAATAAAATTGGAAGTAAATTTTATTTAAAGAATTTTCTTCTCCAAACCCAAATTACAGATATATTCCATAAAATATAAAAACGAGCCGTATAATAATATAAGTAACTTTTACACAAATAATTTTCTTCTCTAAACGTAAATAACAGATATATTCCACAAACACACAAACGCGCGCGCACACACACACACACACGCACACACACGCAAACATACACATATACACACACAGACAGACACAGAGATACGGACACATGCACGCACACGCACGCACACGCACACACACACATACACGCACACACATACATTAACACACACACAGACAGACACAGAGACACACACACAAACACACAGAGACACACACACAAACACACACGCGCACGCACGCAGGCACGAACACACGCACCCACCCACACACACACACACGCACCCACCCACCCACCCACACACACACGCACGCACGCACGCACGCACGCACGCACGCACGCACGCACGCACGCACGCACGCACGCACGCACGCACGCACGCACGCACGCACGCACGCACGCACGCACGCACGCACGCACGCACGCACGCACGCACGCACGCACGCACGCACGCACGCACGCACGCACGCACGCACGCACGCACGCACGCACGCACGCACGCACGCACGCACGCACGCACGCACGCACGCACGCACGCACGCACGCACGCACGCACGCACGCACGCACGCACGCACGCACGCACGCACGCACGCACGCACGCACGCACGCACGCACGCACGCACGCACGCACGCACGCACGCACGCACGCACGCACGCACGCACGCACGCACGCACGCACGCACACACGCACGCACGCACACACACACACACACACACACACACACACACACACACACACACACACACACACACACACACACACACCGCCGGGTAAAAGGTTCTAAATGCAATAGCGACTTAGCTCATTTAAAAATTCGATTTCCCATTTAAATAACATAGGAATTTTTTTTTTATTTCGATATTAAAAAAAAAAATTAGGAAAAACCCGTGTATATCTTTTGTAGGGCATAAAATCCGCTACAATAAGTTTTTTGGGTGAATCCCCTCCGACCAACAGTTGTTGAGTTATAGAACTAGAAGGACGAATATCAATTATATTTCACATCAAATCTTCTTTAAACTAAAATTTATCATTTTTACATCTAATAATAACTTATTATAAACATTAGGACGCTACAGTTCTAATTTTCAAATTTTTTAGTTTCATTTCTAACCACAGTAGCACTACTCTTGACTTCGTCTATACTTCCATTGATGTAAACTAAAGTTTTTGCTCTTCAATCGTTATTGACTAGCATTGATTGTTGATAATTGTGCTTTAACCTCATTGTTTATTTTCCTATTTCTGTCATAAATGTCAGACTCAGTGATTAGACTCATATTTAGCTGAAATGGCCTAATAAAAACTGTAAAAACATTTATTTACTTGATTATGAACGTACATTTTTATCCCAACGTAAGCTACCAAATAATCGGGAAGTATTAAGTTTATTGTTGTACACTTATAAATGTCTTGGTAAGCCACTAAATCTAAGTTTAAAAATTTTGTAAAACGAAAATCTCTTTGATGCCGTTTGAAACAGTGTTGCAAAACTAAGAAGTTTATATAAAGAAGATTTGATGTGAAATATAATTAATATTCATCTTTCTAGCTCTATAACTCAAAAACTGTAGGTTAGAGGGGATTCCTTCATAGAAACTTTTTGTAGCAAATTTCATGCCCTACAATAGCTATTCACGGGTTTTTCCTAAAAAAAATTTTTAATATAGAAAAATTAAATTGAAATACAAAAAAAAAATTCCTGTTATTTAAATAGGAAATTGAATTTTTGAATGAGCTAAGTCGCTATTGCATTTAGAACCTTTTACCCGGCGGCGTAATTTTTTATTTTTTATAAAGTTTCAGATTTTCAGGTAGCACAGAGAAAAAAAAAATATTGCCTGAAAATGAAGCACCCTAACACACATACATACACAAACACACGCACGCATGCACGCACGCACGCATGCACTCACGCACGCACGCACACATACACACACACACACACACACACACACACACACACACACACACACACACACACACACACACACACACACACACGTGCGCGAAAATAGTTAAAATGGATTCAGGGGACCTCAGAACGTAAAAATCCGTCGAAAACTCGGGGTCGAAAAAATCATGATTCCTATACTTTCCTTATCTGTATACAGATAGGAAAGTAAAAAGGAATGGGAAGTGCTCAGCAAAATGGATGATACTTTTTTCTACACCCTTTCAGCCATTCTTTCGCCTCCCTTAATATGGCTTAGGGATCATTTTGGCTCTCCCAGTTAGGCTTGTTTTCGTGTAACATATAGCATTATACATTTTTAAATAATCACCTTTAATAGAAATATTTTTTTATGCTAAAATATATTTTAGACACCATTGAGTAATCTGATGGTGGTTTAGAACCCTCCCCCTAATTGCACCACTGTTGTCGTCTATAACCTCTCACTAGCATTATCTTGGTATTAGACATTTACCAATTTTGACAACCATGCCAAACATAATGTATTTGTAATGAGTTAAAGTACAGTGCTTTTTTTTTTCTTTTTATTTTTTCGTTTTTTTTTTTTTGTAGATTAGTTTATCATGTCCGATAACCCATCTGACGAATTTACAGCATCAATATCATCTGAAGATCTATCGAATGCCGCAAGTGAGGAATTAGACGAAGATAGCCGAGAGAGACACACTTTTTTTCAAACAAGATCCTTGACAGAAGATCAGATTGCCTCTTGCTTAATGGCAATAACTGGAAGTCCTACGCTTATTAAATTAGTTAAAAAACATGGCGTCGCTCTACCAAAACTACACCATACAGATCTTCTGTCGTTACCAAAAAAGTATGTATACGGGCCTCCTTAAAATTCTTTAGCATACATTTTTACTTCATAATTTTAAAATGTCTTTTTTCGTTTAGGACGTACTTAGAATATACTATTTTGCCAATCCTGGTAAATGCTGTAAAGCACATTATTAAGACTAGACCACAAAAGGCTATAAGCTGTTTAGCGGCATATCTAATGAAGCATAGACATCAATACGAAGATGACAGATGGGAGAATAAACACCAGACATTCAACGTGGCTAACGTGGCTAACGTGTGTTCTAAATATGTTGTAAAACAAAAGGCTCATGATTAATATTTAAATAAAATTTTAAGTGGTCTTTGAGTCTTACTAAAATCTTGTGGTCCAAAAATTGCTACCTTATTGGTTTTGCATAATAATAAAAACGCATGTTACAAGAATTACAAAATGATAACATTTAAAATGTTTCTCATTTTGTCATTCATTTATACTTTATCATCACTATCTCCACACCAAAAGTAAGAAGATTTACAACTAAAAAACTATCATGTCGAGATAAGAGAACTGGTAGCAAAAAAAACACCTAAGAAAGAAATGGCCGATGACAAGATTACCAGAAGATAAAAATATTACAAAGAAGAATCCTATAGCAGATACCTAGTATGGCTAACAGATGTTAAAGAAACTGATTTTTAGTTCTAAAAGGCAACTATAAAGATAAAAGAACTCGTGTAACCACTGCACTTTTATCAGAATAGCAGATAACAAATGCAGATAACAAATGGATAAGAGAAAGTTGATATTTCCGCTGACCACCTAAAAAGACGTTTCAATTAGATGAAAATCAAAACATTATGCTAGATATTCCAAATGAAGTTTCGAAAGAAATTCAGACAAACATCAACCCACAGAAAGCCTTAGGATATGGCCTTATAAATGGAGAAATATTAAAGATACTGCAAAGGAAGTATTGGTTTTTAATTAAACCAGCAGATATATTTTTAAATGAAGATTCATAGAGGAACAGAAAAATGTATATTTTGCTCTTTATTGACAAAAATATAAAAGCAAAACCATAACAATCATTAAACATGTACTACAGTATGATATATATTTAATGAATTTCTTCCAATACCCCCTCTACTTCATTGAAATCTAAAATCTTCAAATTTCTTCGCATATTGTAAAACTTATCCTTTGGTAATGGTTTCGTAAACATATCGACTAATTGTGTTTTAGACTCGAAATATTTAATGCTGATTTTGTCTTCTTTTATTAGTTCACGAACATTACCAATTATTTCTCTGTAAGGAATATGTTCTCTTTTATCCACTGACGTAAGTTTAAGCCTTAATCCGGTGTCAGCGGGAATCATGAAAGAGAAAAATCATTCATATTTATTTATTTGGGTTACACCATACAACAGTATAAAACCAATTACAGAATGGACACAAAAATAATAACAAAATATTAAATATTAATAATAGCCTAAATATATATATATAATCAAAAAATAGTTTAATAAACGTTTTAACCATCATAAGAAAACGCAAAAAAAACTCCGTTAGGAGAAAAAATTACGTTGTCTTATGATAATTAACTCAATCCACAACTAAGCGTTTTATTTCTTTAATTGAAATAGAAAATAAATCAACATCATTTTGAAGTTTACAAAAATTTTGATACATAAAATACATTGGAGAAAATTTTAAAATATTTGTCCTGGAAGACTGAAAATAGAAATACAAAGGGGAGCGAGTTCTGATACTAGGAACATTAAACATTAGTTGACGAAGTAGTTCGGGACAGTCAATTTTAAAATTTAATAATTTGTAAAGAATGCAGATGGAATAACATTTCCTGCGAGTACGTAATTCAAGGATATCAAATCTATGCAGCAAGATGGTTTGCGAAATATTGCGAGTAGGGTAGACGCCATCTAACTTGCACCACAAATATTTAAAAAAAAATCGCTGAATTTTTTCTAATGCCTGGCTATGTACTTTGTACCCATGACTTCAAACAATGGACGCATATTCTAGTTTATTACGTACAAAAGCGTTATTAAAGATAGTTTTTAAAGTGTTAGGCTCAAAGAACTGGCAAACTGGCATCCATTTCGAATGACAAGACCCAAATTTCTGTATGCTTCTTTCTGAATAGTATTGACATGTTCAATAAAGTTTAACTAAGCGTCGAAAAGAATACCAAGATATCTAAAAGAAAGACATTTACTGATGGTAATATTGTTGACAGTATAATTATACTTAATCGGATTTTCTTTACGAATGAAGATGATAGAATTGCACTTAAATATGTTTAGTGGTAAGTTGTTAGAATTACACCAAAGGTTCAATTTATTTAGGTTCTCCTGCATAATCAAACAGTCATCAATACTGAAAATTGATTTAAACAATTTTAAATCATCGGCATAAAGTAGAGTATTACATGATAGGTTTTCAGTAATGTTATTTACAAAAATGGAAAATAAAAGTGGTCCTAGAACTGAAACTTGAGGGACGCCGGAAGAAGCTTTTATACAAATTGACTGAAAACCATGGTATTCAACTCTCATTTTACGATTACTTAAAAATAATTTAAAGAAACGCAGAAAAGACGTAGTGAGTCCAACAACGGAGAGCTTGTTCAAAAGTATACTATGATCGAGGCGATCAAAGGCCTTGTGTTAAAGATTAAGATTAAGTTCATTAATGTATGTTACTATGGTATTAATTATAATTTATGTAACTATTAAAAAAAAAGGAATAGACGTTTTTCAGACAGACAATTTGTGTATCATTTTCAACTACAATTACTATTACCATTAAAATAAAGAAATAATACCTTGGAAAAGTCGGTATATACAGGATGTTAAAAAAAAAGTGTCACAAAATGAAATGGTAAATAGTATGACCCAAAATAAGCAGAAAAGTCTTAATAAATATATGACCGCAAATTAACGGTTTCGGAGATACGGACCATTTTGTGTTTATAACAATTTTTTATTATTATAAAAAAACAATGATATTTATAAACAATCAATAACAACATAGAGTTAAATGAGATGTTCAAAGTGCCCTCCCTCTATTTCAATGCATTGCCATTTGCACGACCGTACATAAAATGCATGTCAGCTAATTCAACATTAGTGTAAACAGGCATAACGAAAATTTATAAAATTATTCACCCACAACAAAATAATAACTGCAAATAGTATCTATGAAAAAACATCGGTAGACTCCGATAAGAACAGCAAGTTTTTGAGAATTAAAAAAGATAATCAAAAAATGATACAAAACACAAAACACTCCGTATCTCTGAAACCATTCATTTGCGGACATATGTTTATTAAGACTTTTCTGCATATTTTGGCCCATACTACCCCCCGTTTTATTTTGTGACACTTTTTTTTTAACATACTGTATAGCTTCAACCTATCAAGGTTTTTCGCAACATATTGTGTAAAGCATATCAGATTGGTCTCTGTCGATCTGCCTGGAAAAAAGCCGTGCTGTGCCGTAGATATAATCGATTTTACATGAGCGAAAAGTATTTCATAAATGACTTCTAAAATTGCAAAGGATGGATATAGGTCTGTAGTTTTCTATGATAGATTTGGATCATTTCTTAAATATTGGATAGATTTTAGATATCTTCCAATAACTTGGAAAATTCCCTTCTCGTAAGGACATATTAAAGACCATGGTTAAAGGTTTGGCTAAAATATTTGCACAATATCTTATTAAAAATGCCGGAATATCATCTGGCCCTCTAGTATTTTTAGGTTTCAATCTTTTAAGACCTTTAATGACATCTTCTTCTGTAAGTAGCGGAATGTTTCAACTGTTAATATTAACATTATCTAGTTTAGACATATTAATTTTAGACGAATTAGTGTACGATGACTGAAAATATGTAGCAAATACAATATCTTGTCAATTATTTAAAGGATTATTATTAAAAGTCATAAGATTTGGTATACTACTGCAGTTTTTCTTTGAATATATACTGCCAAAAGTAATTGGGGTTAGAAGATATTCTATTCTCAATATTTTTCAAATAATTCCTGTAATTTATTGAAATGTTGCGTTTAATTTTTGACCTAAGAATACTAAACTCGGTATAAATTTTAGCCTCTAATGTCTTTCTATACAGACGATAAAGAGATGATTTTTTCCTCAAATCCAAGAATATACTTCTATTAAACCAAGGAGGGTATTTTGAATTCCACCTTGCTGCAGTTTTTGGAACATTAGCGGTAATTGCAAAATTTACGATAGATTAAAACAAATCACAAGTCTCCTCAGAAGTTGCGGATGCATTCAAACTACTCCAATTAATTCTACAGATAGTCTGGTAGAGTTGAGGAAGATTTGCCTTTTTGAAATTATAAGTTAATTTACTAGACATAGCAAAATTGGTATTTATTTGAGAAAAAGACGAAATTCTAATGAAGGATGCAGGATTTACAGCTATGTCAGATCTACTAAAGATTAAATCGAGTCAACGGTTATTAAAATTAAGAGTATTATTATATTGTCTTAAAGCTAATAATTCGGTAAAATTATCAAGTGCAACTATACTAGCATTTTTCAAAGTTTTATCATTACGACTAGAATGATAATGTGGTATATTAAAATCCCCTAATAGTAACAATTCTTTATCATTGTTGCACCATTCGTAATTACACAAAACATCATAAAAGACATAGTATATATCATTACTAGTAGAGGGACGAATATAAAGTAATATAACATACAGATTGCTATTCGAGACTGACATTTTAAACCAAGTACGCCAATAGAAGGAGTAGATGTATTCAGTTCAGAAAGATCTAGTCTAAATACATTGTATTCTTTCTTTAGGGCAATTAACACACCTACCCCTTTAGTAGTATTGATAATATTAAAATTTCTGTCAGAACGAAATACTCCATAATTTTCAAAAAATAATTCAGAATCGTGCACATAAGAACTCAACCAAGTTTCTGACAGTGCTAATAGGTCGTTGTTACATTCGACGGAATTAATAAACAGTTTTGCAAGTTTGGTGTTTAATCTTCTAAAATTCTGGTAAAATACACCAAGTTTATGTTGGCTAGTATCAGAAATGCTTTATGATTGCTACGATGACATTAAAGAGTTCTTATAATATTCAAGTTTTTTTTTTTTTTGATAAACAGGGCACTTTGAGTGATCCCAAGCAAAATGTTTAACATTAGAAGTTTTAGCGTTAATACAGTTAATACATTTTATTTCAGAATCAATGGGACAATCTTTAATTTGATATGGTCGAGAACATTTAGGACAAGCAATATTTTTTAAACACGACCCTTGGTTATGACCGAAGCCGCTGCA